AATTTAATCATTTTATTGGGGGCTCCTACAACTCTTATCACAATCCATCCATACATCCATTTGTACATTTGTTGCCATCATCCTTTTCAACGCATTTTCTTTCTACTTGAACCCTTGGTCTCAGCTCATTTTTCCCCTCCCTCCCTCATGAACCCTTGATAATTTATAAATTATTATTATTTTTTGATGTCTTGCACTGTCCAATGTCTCCCTTTACCCCCTTGTCTGTTGTTCATCCCCCTGGGAGGGGGTTATAGATAGGTCATTGTGATGGGTTCCGCTTTCTCCCCCCACCTTCCCCTCCCCTCCTGGTATGGCTACTCTCAAGATTGGTCTCGAAGGTTTATCTGTCCTATATTCCATGTTTCCAGTTCCTATCTGTACCCGTGTACATGTACATGCTCTGGTCTAGCCGGATTTGTTAGGTAGAATTAGGGTCATGATAGTGTGGGGGAGGAAGCATTAAAGAATCTAAGGAAAGCAGTATGTTTCATCAGTGCTATACTGCACCCTGACTGGCCCGTCTTCTCCCCACGACCGTTCTGTAAGGGGATGTCCAATTGCCTACAGACTAGCTTTGGGCTTCCACTCTGCACTGCCCCCTCACATTCACAATGATAAGATTTTTTTGTTCTTTGATGCCTGATACCTGATGCCATCGACACCCCGTGATTGCATAGGCTGGTGTGCTTCTTCCACGTGGGCTTTGTTGCTTCTGAGCTTGATGGCCGCTTGTTTACCTTCAAGCCTTTGAGACCCCAGATGCTATGAGAATGATGTACAAATGTGCTTTACACAATTGATGTGTGTATGGATTGCGATAACAGTTGTATGAGCCCCTAATAAAATGTTAAAAAAAAAATTGTATTCTTACCTTAATGCTGTTTAGTCCTGATGGACCTAGAAGTACACCACAAATAATATACCCAAACATTGTAGGCAATCCTATTGTTGTGCATAGCCAGCCACAAGGTAAAGACAACATTCCTATGGTCACAATGTCCTAAGGGGGAAAAAAAAACTTTTAAAATGATGGCTGCCTCTACTGCGTAGAAGGGTAAGATGATTAAACAAATAGGATAGGATAGCACACTTAATTCATTTAATATGAATGAAGAGTAAATGATACAACTCCTCACTGCGAATGAGTCCATTATCAACCTTCTAGGGCAGGGTAGAACTGCCCCGTGGGTTTCTGAGAATGTAACTCTTCAAGGGAATATAAAGTCTCATCTTTCTTCTGTAAAGCAGCTACTAGATTTGAACTGCTGACCTGTGGTTAGTAGCCCACTACACGACCAGGGCTCCTGATGATTCAACTAAGAGGAGTTTTTATAGTTTTATAGTACTGTCTCTGAAAAGTAAAAGCATTAAGAAGGTAGTCTGAGAGTACTGTAAATAAGTTAGCTCTTTACAGTAAACTTTGTGTATTTTCCTTATGCTGAACACCAGAATTCCACTGACTCAATGGTAACCAAAAAATTAATTTGTTGAGTTTTATCTATTAATGCAATTCTATCAATATATACTCAATACCTGGCATGAGCCCTTGGCATCATTTATTGAGCTTATTTAATTTGCAGTCTTCCTCCCAAACTCTGTGTTAGCTATACCTGTAAGACTTTGCCTTGGTTTCTTTACCTGTTCAAAGTTCAAGTCCTATGTCGTTAAGCCCTAGTCCATTTTATTGGAGGTAGGACAATTTATCTAGATCGTGTTAGCCTTCCCTGCGTAATCTGCACACCATTGTTGCTGAATCTATGACTCATTACAGTACAAATCCAAATGGATCCCTCTCAACCTTAGCACCATCAACTCCGAATACTCAAGTGCTTGCCAACCTTATATTGGCTGGGTTCCTTAGAGGACAGAGCATCTCAATCAGTAAGGACCACAAATCATTGTTGAAAGAGAGTTCTCAAGATTCATATCCTATGTCTAAATAAAGCTGGCCACAGTTCCTGGAGTACAAACAAGTTCCGTTCATAAGTCTGCCTGGAAGATGAATGTATGCGTTAAGGTGGAGCAGCTAGGTACCGTTTCGATCAGTTAAAATTTGTCTGCAAAGATCGTAAATAAAAGGGCTTCCAAAAAGATAATGGCGTTTTTTCCATGAACTTAAAAATTTCCCTTCATGTAGTGTACCTTCCTACACATAATAATTAAACACTTCTAGGTACATGAAAGCATTTTAAATATAATACAGTAATCATAGTACTTTGATGCACATCACTAAGTAGAACCCATTTGTTATTACTAACCACATACGTCCAATTTTTAATCCGATAGGCTTCACAAGGTTGGTTCAGGAATACAGCTTGTACTTAAGCGGTACTTTGACAACCTAGGAACTGCCTATACATGCTACCTTGGCCAGGATTTTACCTTTTAGTGAAAATAGTTTTAAAATAGGCAACATTTTAATCCCATCAGAGTAACCTTTCATTGAATGATGTCTTCTAAATTTTCAAAGTCAAAATAAACTTTCATTTACCATTTAAAAATTGTTATTTTTCTTTTAAAAAGGAGATAGAGGGACTGTCTTAAAATCTTCAAGAACTGCAAAAGGTAGTGAATTCTAGTAGAATCTGTTCTGTTTGGAGGAAAGTTGCTGTTGGATAGATAACGCTCAATCTTATTTGATTGATGTGTTTACATAAGTGGGAAAGGGAGAGGAGAAGGGAGGAAACTGTGCCCAATATTGAAAGGAGACTAAAAACATGGACACATACCTTTATAAAGTGGTGATCTGCACGTGGGATTGTTGAATCCCTGGGTTTGGTCAAAATATACTGGTTATTTTGAGAGTCAATTAGCATACTCAGACCTAAATCATCTTCAACTTCTCGTTTTGTTATATTTTGCTTAGAATTGGCCTCTTCTTCTTCCACTCTGAGAACTGCCTCAAAATTGACTCCTTTAACCTGTAAGAATATAGCAACATTAAAGTCAATAAACTGTTTTCAAATTCATTTTAATGAAAGTAAATCCTACATGGAAGAATTTTTTTGCCATTTATCAAATGTGACTAAAGAATAATGTTCACTAGCACGAACTAGGAAAATTTAATTTTAAAAGGGGTTTAAGGATGAAAATGTTCAGGATTGTTATGACTTAGAAACGTCAATTTTACCCGATTTAGGGCATACTCTTTTGAAAATTCATTGTCCTTATAATGTTTTTAAGTTCTCTCATCTCTACTTTCCACTTTATTTTCAGTTTCTCCCTCCCCCACCTTTTTTTAATTTAATCATTTTATTGGGGGCTCCTACAACTCTTATCACAATCCATCCATACATCCATTTGTACATTTGTTGCCATCATCCTTTTCAACGCATTTTCTTTCTACTTGAACCCTTGGTCTCAGCTCATTTTTCCCCTCCCTCCCTCATGAACCCTTGATAATTTATAAATTATTATTATTTTTTGATGTCTTGCACTGTCCAATGTCTCCCTTTACCCCCTTGTCTGTTGTTCATCCCCCTGGGAGGGGGTTATAGATAGGTCATTGTGATGGGTTCCGCTTTCTCCCCCCACCTTCCCCTCCCCTCCTGGTATGGCTACTCTCAAGATTGGTCTCGAAGGTTTATCTGTCCTATATTCCATGTTTCCAGTTCCTATCTGTACCCGTGTACATGTACATGCTCTGGTCTAGCCGGATTTGTTAGGTAGAATTAGGGTCATGATAGTGTGGGGGAGGAAGCATTAAAGAATCTAAGGAAAGCAGTATGTTTCATCAGTGCTATACTGCACCCTGACTGGCCCGTCTTCTCCCCACGACCGTTCTGTAAGGGGATGTCCAATTGCCTACAGACTAGCTTTGGGCTTCCACTCTGCACTGCCCCCTCACATTCACAATGATAAGATTTTTTTGTTCTTTGATGCCTGATACCTGATGCCATCGACACCTCGTGATTGCATGGGCTGGTGTGCTTCTTCCACGTGGGCTTTGTTGCTTCTGAGCTTGATGGCCGCTTGTTTACCTTCAAGCCTTTGAGACCCCAGATGCTATATCTTTTGATAGCCGGGCACCATCAGCTTTCTTCACCACATTTGCTTATGCACCCGCTTTGTCTTCAGCGATTGGAGACACTAACTCTTTACAGGAGTAGAAAGCCTTGTCTTTCTCCTGAGGGGCAGCTGGTAGTTTCAAACTGCTAACCTGTGGCTGGAACTAATCGTGTGAAAGTGTGAAAATAAACGAGGCTAACTAGTTTATTTTTGGAGCCTGTGAATGGTGAAAATGGTTAATGTGCTCAGCTGCTAACCAAATGGCTGGAGGGCTGAGTCTACAGAGGTGCCATGAAGAAAGGCCTGGCAACCTACTTCTGAGCTGTCCCGGAAACGCCCAAGGTGAACAGTGCTACACTGGTGTGCCCGCTGTCTCCTTGAGTCCGCATCAACAATTACAACTGGTATTTTTAGTCTATTTCCACAATAAGATTAGTTTCTATAGGACAAAGAATTTGGTTTGTCCTCAATACAAAGTAAAAATAAACATGCAAAACAATTTCAACAGCACATCCTTTTCAATGAGTAAGTAGTTCAATACGTAAACTGTTACGTGTCCCGAAATACCACTTACGGATTTATTGTCATCAAAAGCGTGTTCTTCTATCTCCTCCTCTAAACGATCCGCTGCCTTTCTTACATCTTCAAGAATTTCATCAAGCATGGACAGGCTCTTGTTTTGATGTTGTATGTTTTTAAGGGCTTCAACTTGATGTTTTTCCGCTGCCAGAAGTTCTACATATTCTGTCTCTTCCTATTCATTTGTAAGGAATTAAAAGTGAGTTTTAAGAAATAAACCAGAATATGACTTTCATCTATCAATTTCAGGTACTTGGCCTGAGTAAATCAAACCTATTCTCTATGTCAAATAGCCCTCTTTACATATATAATTTTAACTCTAGTTAACTAGGGAAGATGAAGTCTTCTAGATCATTCATACAAAACTAAACTTAGTAAAATATTTAGGGAAATTGTTACTAAGTACACATACAAATATATAATATTTCTACTTCTATAAATAACATCGATCATTATTGACATTTACTCATGCAAAATGGTTTGCTGAACACTGATTATGTTACTAAACCTACAGTAACATGTGTGCCTACAGTACATATGTACAACGATGTGAAGGATAGCTGTACTCTAAAAGTAGCTGTGATGCTTGAATATGTTGCTACTAGATATAAATTCATAAACAGAACACACAGTCACACTGACACTATGCTGCAGAGGACACCTGCTCCCTATGGGATCAGAGGCAGTACATCTTTATGGGAGCAGACAGGCTCATCTTCCTCACATTGAAAACTGGTCGGCTGAAACTGCTGACCTTTTGGGGTGCAGCCCAACATTTTACCACTGCACTACCAAGATTCCTTAATGGAAAATTACAAGGAAAAGTTGTTCCAGAACAACAGTTATTTCATAAATGGATAGATGGGGTTGACAATATAATTTAATAAATTATTTTTGTACAATTACATTTAAACTCCAAGTATCTTAATCACATTATTAGCGCATCTTTAAAAATAATTCACATTTAAAAGGGTGCTTAGATGGGACAAAAAAGCTCACTGGCACTATGAATTAGGCATTAAGGTGCTAGTACAGGTCAGTGGTTCAAACTCACCAGCTGCTCATAGAAGTAAGAAGGCTGTCTACACGTGTGAAGAATTACAGCCTCAGAAACGGCATAGAGGGCCACAGTGAGTCAAGGCTGGCTCAATGGCAGTGAGTTTGGTTTGGGGGAGTAGAGGAAGAGTGAGAATATCCAGAAACAACGCCTACTTAATGGATCTGTAGTGATAACACCAACCAGGCTACCTATAAATATCACCTCAGTCTCCCTGACAATGCTGCTGTCTGGTGTTACGTGGCAAAAGCTATTTGGGTAAATAGTGTAAGTTACAAGACTTTCAAATTTCATAAAGCATGTATATTTAGATCACTGTTACTCAAATTCATGCAAACATGAATGTGTTTTTCTACAAGAAAATCTTGCAAAAACTATGGCTCTTACAAATGAAGGCATTTAATGATTTAACTATCAAAAAAGATCTCCTAAGGCAGTAATATCTATTCAAAGGAGAATACAGGATAGGGATTCACACACATGCCTAGGATGCCCTCTGATTCAGAATTGACATCCATCTATAGCACACTCTCTGAGTCAAGGCTGTTAAAAAACTTGGATTCTCCATTTGTCTAATGATCATATTTCTACCTGAATATACCATATGCTTTGGTGAAAAGAAAAAGATTGTCTATTTTTTTCTATGCTTTTAAAACTGTGATAAATTAAGACATTTCTATTATGGTGAAATAATATTTTACACATTTAAAGTACTTGGCACAATGCCTGGCATATAACAAGTATTCAAAATATCATGGTTTGAAAAGTAATATAAATTATATTAAATCTAATGCAGGCAGTTTCTTCTCATCAGTTTAAGAATATTTGGTCAAAATCCTACTTGAGATATATACAATTGTCAAAACCTGAATTTTAGTATTTGTTGTTTTCAGTATGTAGACCTTAAATAAAGCGAAACTTCACAATCAGAGAGATTCTTCTCAAAAAACCTTCAAAGTGTTGATTAGATTTACAAATGTATTTATTTCCATATCAGCTTATCAGCATAATTTGAGGACCTCTTGAATTACCCAAGAATTTCTAAAGTAGAGAAAAGCATGAGCTCATGAATCCTTCTACGAATAATAAAATACAACTACAGTAAGAAATACAAAAGGAAAAGACGAGCTTACATATGAGAGCTATTCCATATGTCCATATTCTGCAAGAGTAGATAGATGCCTTGACAGATCTTACCTACTAAAACAACAGCACTTACTACATTTTCCCTTGATCTCGATTTCCTAATTTCAGAATATACTTTTCCTCTCTTTTCCTTTCTTTTATTGTGGGGAGTGCTAGGGGTGGTGGTTGTGTGTAAATAAATGTCTGTACTTGGTAAAATGGTAAAAAGCAAAACAAAACTGACCTTTATTGCAGCTTCTCTCAGTGCCTCCAACCTCTGCCTGCTGCTCTCTTTCATGTTGACGACATCTTTGTAATCTCCCTGGAGGGCCCTTTGCAGTCCGTGGATAGCCTGAAAGACTGAATTTTCACTCTCATTCAGTTCTTTTTGAAAAATCTCAAATGTATGCACCTGAAACAATTTTTCTTCATCTGAGAGCCCAGCGTTTCTTTCCACTGCTCGGATTGCATTTTTCAGTTTGTTAAGAACCACGTGCTTCTGACGGAGCAGCCCAGAGAGCTTTCTGCAGTTATCCATGACCCACTGCTTTCTCTGAGTTGTGGCGGCTCCTTTGCCTCGGTGCAACTTGATCGCATGCTTTGCCACCTCCACATGCTCTGCAGCATTTGCTGTCAAGTGAAGCAAGGAAAGCAACACCCAGAGAGAATTTCTTTTTAGTATCTTCATGATCCACATCTAGAGGACAGGGCAAGGTGGTCCAAGGATTTCTTCTGGGCTGAAGTTGCATTTTAGAAACACATTTTCAGCTGAAAAACAGATTGTACATATGGTTGAACAAGTTATTTCTTCAATCACAATTAAAGGACTTAGCAAGTATACTCAGAAAATCATTTTTCTGAAGAAAATTATATTAACATTTGAATTATACATTACAGAGATTACAATCAAATACTGAATATTAAACTCTTATGGTAGAGTTGAAATAAAATGTTATGTACACCCTCTCCAGCACCCCAACATTCCCATGGGCATGTGCCCCTACCCACCACCACCCCACCCCTCCTTGGCAGATGTGCACACGGCAAAACTCCCAAAGAATCAGGAATGCCCACCCAAACTGAGTCTGCCACTCTCTCGACCATGTGGCCTACCCACTATGGAGACATGGCGGACATGGGCCCACATGCCAACACCATCACAGATCTAGGCACAGTCACACAATCACACAAACAGGGTTTTTCTTTTTCTCCTCATTCTTCCACATGAGGGGCCCTGAGGGCATGGAACCACCCACATTCATGTTGCCATAGCAACAGAACTCAGCATCCACATTAGAAACAAACCCTCTTTTTTCACACTTTTTCTTTTTCACTTTTTTTTATTAATCATTTCATTGGGGGGACCTCATACAAATCCTATGACAATCCATCATTCAATTGTATTAAACACATTTGTACATATGTTGCCATCAACATTTCCAAAACATTTTCTTTCTACTTGAGTACTTGGTATCAGCTCCTCTTTTTCCCCTCCCTCCCCACCCTTCCACCTCTTGGATCCTTGATCAATTATATACTATTGTGGTTATTTCATGTCTGACACTGTCCATTGTCTCCCTTCAGCCCCATTTCTGTTATTCGTACCCCTGGGGGGTGGGCTATATCTCCAACCTTCTGATGTTTCACCCCTTTCTTTTCTGCCTCTTCACACTTTCCCTCTTAGTTTTCTCTTTCTCTGTCCTTCCTTCTCTTCTTTCTTTCCTTCAA